AAATCATCTGTTCAATTTAGGTCTTTGCCGATGTTGTATTCTTGCAATTGATGGAGAGAAATAAATAAATACATAATTAAATGTAAATATTGAATATTCTTTGAATTTGAAGATTCTGACATTTTTTTTTTTATTTGCTATAAGAATTTGTATTATAAGGAGTAATATATACTTGTTGGTGAAGTCTTGCTGAAAACCATGGAAAGAAGAAAGTACCCGCTTGTGCAAATCTTTTTGGTTTCCTAAATCAATGGTAACCAATCAGTGTAAAAAAAAAAAAATGATGATTTGTAGGCTCCCAGGTTTTTTGACTTAAATGATCATCACGCTCAATTTTTTTTTTTTTTGACTTTTTTAGCCAATCAAATCATTCATTAAATCATTCAAAACACTTGCAATGTATACACTTATCAGGTTAGAGTTTGCTTGCCGAATTTGGAAAAAGATCCTTCTGAATTTACTACGCGATACACCGTATATCGTATTTGTATACCATATACCTACGGGTGGTAGATTAGCTGTACCCGTAAGCTTTCTGCTACCCACCCACTCCGCGTATTGAGACGCGTTAAATAGAAAAATTTTTCCCTTGTGAATCGTGACTGAGTATAGCTGAAGATAAATTTTGACTGAGCAAAGTGGCCATGTCATTTTAGTATAGTTTACGGTCTACTATCCTGATGTACGAACCTCCTGATCGCTTTATTTATACATTTTTAGAAATCGATATGCATATTAGGTTAATTAAACAAGATACCGATTTTAAAAAAAGATTCAGACTAAACAAATATGTATGTATATCTTTTTTTTTTATATTTTTTTTCGATGAAAAAAGAACAAACGAAGACGTAAACAAAGGACGATAGAGAATCTACCATATGGTACTCGCGTAAAATAAATGATGAAAAAAATATCTTCTAACGGGACATTTTTTATTTTCTTTTTTTTTTCCATTGACTAAAAATCTCGTCTATATAAAAAGCTTTTACACGTTCCTTAACAATTCCCTCATAAATGAAAGAATATGCAGCGACACGATTGGTGTCATCACAGACGTGAACCTTGTGGAACAATCCGTCTAGGTCGCGTTTTCTATCAGAGGGTCGCTGATTGATGTGGATGTTAGTAAGCAGACTCATTACTTCGAGGTGTATGGAAATAATTGCTACAGTACCCAATTCTGTTACAAAACTTTTTCGCCTTCACTGCCTATAAGACACAGGGATTGACATTACCGAGGGCATCACTTGCCTTGGACGAAATATTTTTTTCTCCTGGCCAAGCCTACGTCGCTCTTAGCAGGTGTCCTACTTGGGACAACGTTAAGGTATCCCACCTTGACCC